TCTGACGTAGGCCTTATAAGCAGCAAGGAGAACTTTTGGGTTAGAAGAGGATCACTTCAATTTCATTTGCATTTCTGTTTGCTTTTAGGAGATTATGACTACTTCTACGGCCTGCCATTGAAAACCTATCAACTTGATTCTATTTTGGTTGCAGTCTTATTTCATAATAGAATTTTCGTTATAGGTACGCACAACACTGTGAATTCTACTACTGGCGTCGTATGACAAATGGATGTCAGGAGTACAAGGCACCAGCTGCTGGGTAAGCCGTTTTCCTATATATGCCACCACTTCGAGTCCGCACACTAACGATAAGGCACGCTTTTCAGGGGCTTTAGTGATGTGGAGAAGGGAGACTGGAATCCTTGACTTGAATTCTCATAGACTGTAAGAAGTGCACCACCAATTTCGGCGCACTTCTTACCGTCTATGAGAATTTGATCTCTTCTTCTTTGCTAGTGCCCATTTATCTTTTTCTCGGCTCGACTGCTTCAGAGCCCTATCACAAATGTTGAATTTTGCAACAAGGCGTTGCTCATCCTCATCAGATTTCACTGGTATTTAAACCGAATCTCCTGATCTCTCGAAATCGAGACCTGAAATTTTTAATTAATCACCGCTCGTTGGAAGAGCGCCCCTCTCTGGTCATCTTATCCACTTATATGCTCCTTGATTTTGCTCTTTTTTTCGCGATCTCCATGCTGCTCTTATCACCGAATCAGAAATTTGGCCTGGCTGCGCCCATATCGGTGCCTGCACAGCCGCACGTGGGAAGAACTCTGCTTAGTTTATGCATGCTCCATACATTCGGCCTGGGCACTAGTCATCCACAATTTGGCCTTCATGCTTATTCTTCTTATAGTAAGGAATTTTATGACAGACATGCGTATATAGATAGGCAGGCAAACATAGCGCTTTGTAATGGTTTGATTAATACGTTTGTAGCTTTTTTGTACATTTGGATTTGTAACCCTCCAATAACTTTTGCCGCGGTGTTGCCTAACCCCGACATTTCCAGATACATTTACGGCGAGCCACATGTCATAACGTTCGATGGTGCCAAATATACATTCCCGGAAAAAGGCTATTTCGTGCTAGTAATGAGCGATGATCCTCGCATAAAGCTGAGTTCAGTACGATTAGAGCAGCGGACGAACTTGTAGTGAGTTTATTATAAGAAAGCTGTTGATATGCTCCTCTATGTGAACCCCTTCGCCTGGTCCTAATGAGGTTTAGAAACTAAAAATGAAAATGGGACATAATTCCAAGAATGTAAGTCCTACAATTAAGATTGTGTTACAGACTTTTCTTTTAAAATCTTCATTTACCATTGCATCAGCTGCGCTTCCACGCTCTTATGTTGGGCTTAATATATGAATAGTCCCTTTTTATGATATATAAAACAAATCAAAGATAAATCGCGCGCATTCACGACTAGCAATTAATTTTTAGAACACGTTATAATACACAATGGACGATGTAAGCACCTAAGGTTCATTTTCTCCCGATTTTTTCCCCATCTATGCTTTTTCTATACTGTTTGACTGACCCTTTCAGGGCATTCGCACGTGAACGCCACTGTGATCACCGGAATTGCTGTTCAAGAAAATGACAGCTCCATTGTGCAAGCTATAGGTTATCTCTTATTGGTGAGGAAGTAGAACGGCTAGTGGTTCCCACTTCAGGTGTTTGCACGCAAACGATGCGTCGTTGGCGTTACCGCACTGATGTCTATGTAGATGGGGTTCGACGATTCTTTGACAAACCACATTGGAAGTACCAGCAGTTCAGAAGTAAGTTTGTTCTTGGCTTTAAATGCTGTCCTTGACAGATAATCTGTTTAGATGTGGATCTGCGCAATCCACTGCAGAATATGAATCAATCCGAGATAATCATCATGCTGAAATCCGGGGTCGGTATTCAGGTGCATGAGAGTTACGGTATGCTTGATGTTGTTGGATGTCACTCCACCAAGCTATAATACTACATGCAAGGTATCATCATTCGCTCCATTTCGTTGTTTTCTTATCATTTTATTTCTTTCTTTGCAGCCAGGGGTCTCAGCCTCTTCTTCGCTAAATGCTCTGGACGGTACGACGCGTTGCTACACGACATTGGGGCTATTAGGTAAGCCATCTGAAAGAAGTATAATTACAGGTTTTTGTTATATCGCCACACTCGTACCACGTAAGCTAGTCTCCCAGCGAATGTGCCCGAAGCAGACGTAATCAACGATTCTGACGTGCGCCCACCCGACGCACGTCAGAATGCCTTGCCTACTATAGGCTTTGACCACTCATTCTTTGCTGGTCTCCATCCGCTTTGCTAGCCACCAAGCTTCTCGAATCCTTACTATACCTTTGATTTTCTTTCCGCTCACTCAAGTTAGTCCGCTGACCATATATATTTCACCTGTCCCCACTCGGTAGTGGTCACCGCTCAATTCAAGATGTGCTGAGCACGCCTTGTTATTGTTCATTTCCCCTCACTTCTTTTAATTCATACACTGTTAAGTCGTTAATACGAAGTCATGAATTAGTGCAGTAATCTACGCTCATTTAAAGAAGGTTCGGCTTACAGGGGGTGGGTGTCTTCATCTCATCCAGCGATATACTGCCCACTTCTCCCGTCCTCTCCGGTATGGACTATTTTCGAGCAAGATTAGGGTTTTTTTTACTTACGATCCGGTCCTTTGCGGTGCGTGTTCTGCCAACCGTGGGCACGCTCAGCTCTGCACATCGTGGCTTCATGGCTCCATATTTTAACACTGACCCAACCTCTCCACATGATTTTCCAAGTAATGCCGAATTGTTTGACAGACAATTAGGCATAAAGATAAACAGATTGTCTGTATAGCGGGTACAATTGAGGAAGGGGCAGAAAATTCAGTTTGATGATACGCATCGGCTAAATTCCATGCTTTCAAAGGAAACGATGTGCTCACCACAGAAGGCTGTCGCAAAATAGTGGTTACTCCAGGACATGGTCTTTCATAAGGTAGAAGCTCCCCGTCAGTGTTGAGCAAAGTGTGCATTAACTTTGGAAGTGGGGAAAGAAAAGGGATTTTCTTCGCGCTCTCCCTTCCCTGGTAATATGTGTAGTAGAGATCGTAAGCTTTTATTCCTATAGCCGCTTCGATTTTTATCTTTTTTTCCTTGAAAGTAAATTGTTTCCAGGCGTGTATAATAACGATCCAACCGACGATCTAACGTCGTCAACTGGCCAAGTTACACGATCGTCTGGTGATACATTCACTGCCAGCACAACACAAATGATCTACGAACAGTTTGGGTCTAGTTGTGAGTTCGTTCCGGCGTTTCTTGTTATTATCATGATACCTGGAGTATTCGTAACTACGAATAATCACAAATTCCTAATTTTACTATTTCTCCACCTAATCTGAGCACAAAAGGAAAGGAAGATATCAATAGAAAAAGTCTATTCGATAGCATTACCTGCAAGGAACCAGTAACGTGATTAAGTGACCGGTTGTTCTTTCATAGAAGGACACATTTCTGTGCAGCATCGATGTTTACAACGAAATATTTGCCTGATGAGTAATTATAGCTTCGATCTCACCCGACATTCAGTCTGGCGACACCACTTTTGAGAATTTATCATACTAACACGAATGTTGGCGTTGATCATGTTCGTGATCTGCCTTGGAGTGCGCCACGCACCCTGTTCCCCTTCAGGGTTGTTATGGAATTCTGAATGCGATATGGCCTACACAATAGCTTGCGACGGCCAGCCGATGCACAAGCAAGTGTTTTCTACTCATATACAAGTCTGGAACCTATCAAGAGACTGAAGAATGGAAGAGTTGGTTGATCTGGACGGCGTACTATCCAGGCTTTGATCCCCGAGAGCCCTGGGCTAGGCAAGCGGCTCCACTCGCCACTACACCACTTCCGTCTTATTCATCTTATCGTTTTTCTTCCTTTGTGGCTATTCTGATTGATTCCACTCTTGAATCACATTCAAGCCATTTTGGACACGTCCTTGGCTTTATTGCAGGGTTTTGCTTAGTAAGTGCCGTGGCTGTATCACAGGCATGGGTCGTTGAACGGTAGTTCCAATGTGCAGGTGCAGCTGCGTGTGTACAGGTTTATCTGTAATCCGTACGAACAACTGAGTCGATTGTGAAAAGAGTCAACAACGCTTGTTAAGTGTTAACATTCAAGACTGAGTGGAAGCCTATGCTTTGAGAAACATGAGGAATCTCATTTTCAGGGAGAGTAGACGGAAAGAATGACAAAATTGGATCGGTGTTATTTGGCGAGCAGTTTAAACCCATTTACAATCCATTACTGTTCGCTTCGACCGACTACACGCCAGTTTTTTGGCCGCAGTACTGGATATGCAACGCCTCTCGCGTTGTTAAGCGATGGAGTTCAGGTGTGCGTTCAGAGGCTTCACGAATGTAACCTAGATAATGACGGCCTACTGCCCAAATTCTGAACGATTTTTCGGTTCCGCTGCGTACTCGATCTCCATTTAGAATCATTAGGATTTTTGACTTTCGGGAATCAATCTGCGTTTTCCTAGTGTCTCGCTCTTCCTACTCAAGTTTACTACGAATGACCTCGGAAAAGGAACATCATAATTGAACTAGGCACAACTCCAGTATAAAAACTGCGAAAAACTTGCCTTCGTCCATTCTCTGCCAAAAACTGGACTCTGCACTCTTTCCTTCTTGTTGCCTTTTTTCCTCTCTCGACATTTGGTGCCCCCTTTAGGTGACGAGTACCTGTCAAGGAGTTGCACAGTGCGAGTACGATTACACGATGACCGGCCGGAAGGGAGGTCGGTCTCACTACGCTAAAGCAAAACAAAGAACTTCTTGCTATGCGCAGAAGATTGGGCAGAAGAGTGGCTCGACAGCGTGAGTTGGGTTTTAAACTGTTTCTAGAAGAGAAAGTGGGACATCGTCAAGATGCTGAAAAACCTTGGAAGAAATTCTCATACCTGATTTTAGTGATATCATGTGGGCCGTTGCTCAAGAAAGAGGGTGTCGTCAAAACGCCGGCAAATGCCAACTACCTCGACGGTGATTCGGTAACATTTTCATGCAAGCCGAAGTATTACATTCACATGGTGACATTGAAAGAACCTGTCGTAACGGAACCATGGTCGCCTGGATGGTGGGCGTGGTGCAGAGGTCAGTTAAATATTTGGCAAAAAAAAACAGAATCATGAACTAGTACTCACCACAAATCTATGTCTTTAGATCGCAATCTTGAATACGCTTTGAAGTGGATGACCGCTTTGTTATCGATATTTGGTGAGTTTTCTTTTTCCTCTCCTGAACTCCATATTGCTAGTTCTGACTCTCGATAGGATGTACTGCATTCGGCTAAAGGAAATGGGTCCATCTTCAATTATTGCTGGATTTTACACGGTTTATAAAGTCAGATATGATTAGAGATCTTATTGATCTGATACGTAAACAATATTCTCAACCAAACTATGAATCTCTGTGCAACCATAAACAACCAGTGTTTTCTTAGATGAGGCGGTAGGGGAGTATTCAGGCAAATGCGAAGTAAACTGTACATATAATCTCAGTTCCCTACGCTCTCCACAGCTTGTACAAATCAGTTGGTGGATTAGCATGTCATTCCGTGCATGTTATCATTTGGTTATTTTATAGGAATCGTCATGGTGTTCATCATCTTCTTCTGCATTTTGTGGAACATTCGGCGAAAAAAGCAACAAGAACATGCTCAGCGAATGTTGGAGAAGGTGCGTTATCCGTGCGCGAGACGAACAAGATCGCTCCGCGGATATTGTCTCAACAATTTCTTCAGTACCCAAAATTCAACTTATTGGAACAATTAAAATTAAAAGTGCAGTTAGATTGCGAGGTGTTACTTAGCGCCGCCCAGAGAGGTGCGATACAAAACCATATTGCAATCTCGAGCGTCTACCAGCTGCCAGGTGTTTTTATTATATAGGCAATCGAGGGCTCTTTCCAGGGAGGAGGCGCGAACGGTCGAATGTTCGCCACTGCCAACTCTAAACAGCGTCTATCAAAGCAGAGTCTCAGCCTGATGTAAGTTTTGGCTGGAAAACGCTTTGCCGACTTATTTTGATTCATTTCGTGGAATCTTTCCTCTGACAAAAATATTGTTTTGCAGAAATGAAAAGGAACCACTGCGAACTGACTTGTTAAGCACGTTTGAAGACAAGCCGTCATATATGCGAGACGATTTGGCTACATTAGACACGAATCCCTCATACATGCGGGAAGAACAACGAATGGCGCCATCGTTCTACCAGGTATGCTCTGATTTAGGCTGCTTTCATACTTTGCGCCGGCGTGGAATGAGCGGAGTGTGCGAAAACCTCAGAAGGTGCGGAAAACGCCACTTGTCTGTGCTGACATTTGATTGGAAAGGCACCGCTGACTATGTTCCATTGTCTGTGACCTTCGAACGAAGGGGATTGTACTTGTCATTTTTGCACAGAGGTAGTATTTGTGAATTTTGGCGGGGAGCGTGATGAGAGAAGAATTATGCCGACGGATGGCTCAGATTCGCTCGGCTTGAATTTGGAGGATTTTGGGGTCGAAATATATCAAGTTATAAAAAGTTTCCTAATCGGCATGTGACGGCTGACCATGCCCTGAGTGCCATCTAAACCCCGACGCATAGGCGTGTTGCCTGTACAATTGAGCGCCAGCATAGACAAAGAGCCAAACAACAAATAGAATGCTCTTCGTAAGTTCTGCACTTGCCACATTCGCAATTTCTTACGACGGCTCAAAGAGGTTGTGAAAGGAGTGCAAGGGTACAGGTGGGTGCCGATGATGCGTTTCTTGCCAGTCTGCGGTAGATGTGCAACCGCTTTAGAACGTCGTTCCATTTAATTGATGCATTCGCCAAAAGTTACTATGCCGTTTAATTGGAATAGCTTATGAAATGAGTAAATGTACGCACAATCAATCGTAATCTTACCATGTCCAGACTGCGTTCACAGCGTTCGAGCTATTAGGTGGCCATAATTTGAAGCAACAATCCCAGATCGAATTCGTTGGGTAAAAACGGTCGATAATTAAGTTGTAGGTGGGATAGTCTGACCGAGGATAATGAAGGAAAAACAACCAATAAAAACATTGAAGGAGCCTTTAATTACGGGATCCTTTTCGCCTTGGCAATGAATGGAACGCGCGTGTGTCGGGAACGGTTGTCCGACCGGATGCACTTGTGGTCGGCCGAGAAAAATGCGATTAATTAATGAGTGAAAGGAAGAGCGAATTTTGCATCGAGGGAGACCTGCTCCCTCCGCAGCACTCCGCCCCCAGCAGCGTTACGCCCACAAGTTTACTTGTTGATTTGGACGAGCTGCGTGACCAGCAGCGGCGCAAATGGAGTACCTCGATATTAACCCTTTAGACTACGACTTTTTTAAAAACAAGTTATTGATGTGTTTTATGTAGTAACAGTTGCTCCTAGCAACAACTAATCATCAGTAGAAATTTGGCTGATGCGCGCTGGGTTTGAGCTGGGATTCGATCCAGAGACCATGTGCGGCAGTGGCCCCTCCTGTCACCACACATCTCCGCTCGAATGAGCATTTTCGAACAGTTCAAATACTATTCAACAAATACACATTTATCACATCTCATTCGTGGAACTAGGCAATGTCTGGTTGGGAACGCACTTGAAAAGAATTGCAAGCCGCACTTTGTAGAAGTGCTGCTCCCCTGCCTACAGGCTGCGCCCACCGGCTGCTTCTCCTCTAACGAATTTTCGCTGGTTTTTATGCTCGAAAGCTGCGTCATCATAGGAGTGTACTACTACCACTTCCGCATCAAACGCTTATGTTTCACCTGTTTCACAATAATTGAGGGAAATATTAGAACCATTAACACAATACAAAGAATTTGAGACTCGAAAACTACCTTCTCGGGAGCTGTGCACACTGCCCAGTAACCTGTGGAACGACTTGCTTATCAACTTATCCAGCGTAACTCGCTTAGACTTCTGATACTTCGCTGACAGAGTAAGAATTACCAAGTTTCTAGTTGTGCACAATTCCGCCATAAAGCGGACCCTCCGATCTCAATAAGTGCCAAAACTGTGGTAGTGACTTTGACTACGAAGTGGGACACATGTGTACCACCAGTAGTCAAAGATTACTTATGCAGGATGACTCGCTTTAGCTTTGACGATTCACTTGTCATAGTAAGAATTAGAAAGCTTCTATATGTGCACAATTTAGCCATCACTAGCGATCCCTGCCCCATATCTCTGAACTGTGGTTAGGTCTTTGAACTTACCAGTGTGACACATGGCTGTCCCACTGTTAGTTAAAGAGATTAAAGCGCTACTTTGGCATGGTTCCATCAAATCCGTTGCGATGAATTCGTTCATCACGTCTCTCTTTCTTAGCTGTTACCTGTTCACGAGTTGAAACCAATGGTCCAAAAAAGAGGGATCCGTTTTGTGTTGTCTTTCTTGTGAATATTTTCTAGCCTTTTATTTGAGCACATGGACCCAAGTCATCCGTATATGAACCACCACGTCATACTAAACCCTTCTTGAATATATCAGAACCGCTTCCTTTAAGCGAGTAGAACTAGCCAAAAAGAGGCAGCATTAACTTCGAAACGCGCTGTAGTTACACGCAGTCGCGCAAGGACCCAGCCAATCACGCGCTCCACGGCTGCAAGTGGGCTCGCAGCTATGGTCGGTCGCCTCACCTACTTCGAGAGCGTTCGAGTTCTAGCTATTTTACAAGGTGAGTTTTTAGTGCAGTGACCCTTCCTATGTACTTGACCAGGGCTAGTGCATCTTCCCACCTCATGGGCTGTTGCTTCAACTCATTGACGACCGCCGTTGTGCGCGTACTGCTTCAACTTTTTTCGTATTCTCTCATCAATAGGCATTAATCCTTCAGCGTTTTCATTATCAGTAATGAAAAAATTGTTTTTCGGATCCAATAATGTACATGGACCGTTGTGGAACAGGAAAAACGCCAAATAAATTAAGGAAAACTAGTCTGCTCATGTGAAAGTGTGGTATGACATCGTAAGACACGGTCGTCAACCCTTTTCTGATAAGCTCCTAAAGCGCTGAGGATGAAAAGTCTTGGTGTGCTCGCGGTTAGTCAAAGCCGCTCTATAGCCAATAACTGCCGAATTGGCTCCGCCTTAAATTACGAAGCAGTTTTAGCGCTGACTACGTTTAGAGAAACCATTTTGAAGTTCTCACCAATCTGTTCGGAATGTTTGTGCAATATTTTTTTTCAGCTGCGGTAGCATATCCAATCAATATTTTATTCAGACACGTGAGAATGTGCCACCAATTGCTTCGTCCATGGTTGAGCGCCAGTTTGGCACATCTATGGAGCCTGCTGAGCTTCGAGGGATGGTAGGAGCTCCAACGCTGGAGCGACGCCAGTACACCACCAGCATGCAGCCTACTGAGATTCGGCGTGAGATTGTGGGTGCTCCTTCTGTGGTGCAGCGCCAGTACACCACCACCATGCAGCCTACTGAGATTCGTCGTGAGATTGTTGGTGCTCCTTCGATGGTGCAGCGGCAGTACACCATCGGTATGCAGCCTACGCAGGTTCGTGAAATAGTGACTGGTCCGTCTGTGGTCCAGCGGCGGCAGTACGACACGGTGCCTCAGCTCTTCGAGACTTCTGCGATATGATCTGCCATGTAATCTAGTCCGTTATTTGTT